GGGTGGCTGATTATATACGTGGGAGTTGGGGGAGGTAAGGAAAAGGGAGGTTTTCAAAAGAAATTTCAAATGCTAAAGAGGACCTATAAGATACTGGAGGCCTTGCCATTGTCAAGTTAAGGCTGTTTTTCCCTCTAGTAAGGCATTAACATTAAGGCAGTTGGGAGCTTCCTGGAGGAACATTATACTCTGCCTGCCTCAAGTATTTGTGAATGGGCTGCAGATTATAAATGTAGATAAAATTAAACTTAATTTTATCTACATTTCCTTCTGGAAGTTAGATTATTGATAAGAATGCTTTTTTTTTTCTTGTAAATCACTAAGACATTTTAAACTGAGGGAGACTCTTGTCTTGGAGGACTATAATCTCTATAAGTTAACCATTTGTTTTTCCTTCCTTTAGCTTTAGGGCAGCCAGGAATGCCTGAGGATTGTCACACATTTCCCACCTGGGGGAGGGGGGGCAGAGGGAGGGGGTTTGTGGGTGTCAGCTTGTGCTTTGTCCTCAACTTGCCTTCTGCTCCCTCATCACCACCAACTGAAACTCAGACTGGACAGTAATCAATGTGACCATATGGACGAAGGAAATATCCTAAGGAAAGCAGAGAATCAAGATAGAAGCATTCTGGGTCCTTGACATGTGGAGGCACAAAATCAGCCCTGAATTATTTGTGCTTTGCCAGCTATGTGAAAGAGAACTAGACTTGTTAAAGCTATTGTTAATTTAAGTTTCTACTGTAACAGCCAAACTATATCCTCATACAATAGATGAACTCATACAAAATATCTGTATATTAAGCCCTTAATAAAATCTACAAAGTAAAATAAGATGTTATCTGATTATAATACAATAAACCTAGAAACTATTAATAAACCCAAAACAAATAATTCAACTACATAGATGCCTAAAAAATTTCTCTTAAAACAACTTTTGAGGAAAAACTCACACTTGTATAATACTTACAAATTGATAATAATGAAAATCTACACAAAAGAAATAATGGGACACTGATAAAGCAGTGGCCAGAGAAAAAAGAAAAGTCTTAAATACTTGTATTAATAAATATAAATATGTTAATATAAAAATGAAAGTAAGTAAACCATCCAACTCAAGAAATTATAAGCTACATAAAACATAATTTAAAAAGATAAAAGAGAAATTCATGAATCATTAATAAAAAACATGAATAAATCTAAGAGCTGATTCCTAAAAAAAGAGAAAGAGATAAATCCATTATCTAGTTTAATCAAGAAACAAGAGGGAAAACTCAAATAAATAAAATAAGGAAATAAAGACATAGAAATGTAGGGGCCAAGAGCAGGCCATCCCAACATGGACCATTTTGGCACAAACATTATTTTGAGTTAAAAACAACGAAAATTCCAGCAGATACAGGAAAATCTCTTTGCCTCCCCCACAACAGCCAGCATGTACCAGGAAGAGAGCTATTAACAGAGATTGCTCTTAACCTAAGAAACTTACCACATTAATAGAGCAACAGTTGTTTTCCAAACATATCTCACCTTCCTGCTAATGGTCTTTCTCCCCTTTGAATCCTCAGACCCAACCTTCCTACTCAGCTCCTTGAAGCCTCATGTTGCCTCACAGTCTCTGGAATTTCCACGTCTGCGTGGATTCCCTGTGCGTATGCTATTAAATTTGATTTTCTCCTGTTAATCTGTGTCATATTTATTTAGTCCAGGACCTTGAAGGGAAGAGGAATACTTCTTCTCCAACAGAAGAAATTAAAAGAATAAGAAACTATTTTAATAGCTTCTGTGTATAAATAAACTTTCAAAAACCTGGGTGAAATGAACAATTTTCTAGGATAAATATATCAAAATTAGTTCCCCCAAAGATAGAAAATCAATACAGACCATTTACCATATAATAAAAAGGCTGTATAATTAAGCTTTCTACAAAGTATCAGGTTTAGATAGTTTACTAAAACTCAGGTGCAAGCCATTTCAATGTTATTTTTTGTAATATCCCAGAACACATAAAAAGAAGGAATGGTCCCTAGCTTTTTAAATGAAATGTACATAACATTTATACCTAAAAATGAGAAAGAAAACACACTACAGACCAATCTCACTTCCAAATGCAAACAGCCTAACTAAAATTTAGCAATGAAATTTGGCAGTATATTAAAAGAATGATACATTTCATGAACAAGTGGGGTTTATTCTGGAAATGTGAAGATAACTCAATATTATAAAATATTAACATAATTTATTTTACTGATAGATATTGGAAAAAATATTTTCACAGAAACTGAAAAGGTATTTAGTAAAAATTCAATATCCACAGGAATGTGAGTACTTCTTTAATATATGCATATCTGCTTCCCTTACTCTTTCCAATATAGTGAATTACTAAACTGAGTTTTTTCCTGGATGATTTGGGAAAATTCTTTATTAGAATTCTTTATATCTGTGTGACATATGTATCAAGAATAGTTTTACGATGGGCACCTGGGTGGCTCAGTCGGTTAAGCGACTGCCTTCGGCTCAGGTCATGATCCCGGAGTCCCTGGATCGAGTCCCGCATCGGGCTCCCTGCTCGACGGGGAGCCTGCTTCTCCCTCTGCCCCTCCCCCCTCTCATGTGCTCTCTCTCTCTCTCTCATTCTGTCTCAAATAAATAAATAAAATCTTTAAAAAAAAAAAAAAAAAAAAAGAATAGTTTTACGAGAATCTTTACTTTTTTAAAAAAAAGATTTTATTTATTTATTTGAGAGAGAGAGAGAACATGAGCAGGGGGAGGGACAGAGGGAGAAGCAGACTCTCCGCTGAGCAGGGAGCTGGATGCAGGGCTCCATCCCAGGACCCTGAGATCTAGACCTGAGCTGAAGGCAGATGCTTAACTGACTGAGCCACCCAGGCACCCCTAGAATCTTTACATTTTTATGTGTTCAAATATATCAAACTTTCCTTTTTTTTTTTTTTTTTTTAGAGAAAGAGCATTTATGCATATGCAAGCATGAGGGAGGACAGAGGGGGTTTGGCAGAGGGAAAGGGAGAGAGAAAATCCTAAGCAGGCACCACACTCAGCCGCACAGAGCCTGAGCCGGGGCTCAATCCACAACCCTGACATCATGACTTGAGCCAAAATCAAGAGTCAGCTGCTTCACAGACAGAGCTGCCCAGGTGCCCTCAAACTTTCCTTTTATAGTGGTGAGAGAAAAATTCTCTGAAGTCCTGATATACAAGGGAAGCCATTTTAGATTTCCTTCTAAGTCAGCAGTATTGAATATAAACTTTGTTCAAGCCAAAAGCCTGATGTATGGCCTGCCATGCATGCATTGTACATCTGGTTTGTGAATGAATAACCTAAAGGAAAACCATCTTGTCCTTGAGATATTGATCAATGCTCCTGCTCTCTGCATTCCTTGATGCCTGCCTATATACTAATCTATAATCCTTTGAGCTTTTACAAGATGTAAAAAAGTATATAACCCTGTAAACTCATTCATTCTCTAGAACACTTTCTTCCCTGCGTTTCCCAGGTAGCTTTCTTAATTTGAGCTCAAGTAAAACTAATTTTTTTTTTTTTTTTAATATTAGAGTTCTTTCTCTGGTAACACTGCGGTGACAAAAGCTTCTTGATTTGTGCCTTACTAAGAAAGGTCTTCTCCATTCTGAAACTATATAAAATATCATATTTTTTCTTTATGTATTTAATGTTTGATTTTCAAGTCTTTAATTCATTTGGAATTTATTTTGGAAGAAAGATTTTTTTTTTTAAGATTTTATTTATTTGACAGAGAGAGACACAGCGAGAGAGGGAACACAAGCTGGGGGGTGGGGGGGGCGCAGAGAGGGAGAAGCAGGCTTCCTGCCAAGCAGGGAGCCCAATGTGGGGCTCAATCTCAGGACCCCGGAACCATGACCTGAACAGAAGGCAGACGCTTAACGACTGAGCCACCCAGGTGCCCCTATTTTGGAAGAAAGATTACGAAAGTTGCCAGTTTTTTCTGCACAGGTGGCCTGTTCTCACATACCATACTAAACTTTTGCACCAGTGATTTGAAATGACAGCTTTTCCTAAACTAATTTCCATGATAGATTTGGGTTTATTTCTAGATTTTCCCTGTTGCTCTACTGACTAGTATATTAAAAAGATAGTATCAAAACTGCTTCAGTATCTGTACATTTATAATATCTTTTAGTATTTAATAGGTGGTCCAACTAATTTTTTATTACATATTAAAATGATAAAACTTTTATATGGAAAAAACTTCAGAAATTAAGATAGAACTCAAAGAGAAACTATTTTATCAACTTAAAACTTTTTGAGAATGGGGCGCCTGGGTGGCTCAGTCATTAAGCGTCTGCCTTCGGCTCAGGTCATGATCCCAGAGTCCTGGGATCGAGCCCCGCATCGGGCTCCCTGCTCGGCGGGAAGCCTGCTTCTCCCTTTCCCGCTCCCCCTGCTTGTGTTCCCTCTCTCGCTGTGTCTCTCTCTGTTGAATAAATAAATAAAATCTTTAAAAAAAAAAAAAAAACACTTTTTGAGAATGTATAAAATAATAGAAAAAGGACATTTACTAGGCACCTACTGTGTTCAGAAAATTTGTGAGGAATAGAGGTAAAAGACATGATGTTCTGTAAGTGAAGATTCATCAGGAGCTTCATTCAAGTGAGGGAGTATGTTTGCTTACACAATCAGTGCTCATTCTCTCTGTCTCCATCTTTTGCTCACACAGTCTTTACTTTTTTTTTTTTAGATTTTATTTATTTATTTTTGAGAGAGAGAGAGAGAGCATGAGTGGAGGGGGGAGGGGCAGAGGGAGAAGGAGACTCCCCGCCGAGCAGAGAGCCCGATGTGGGGCTCGATCCGAGGACCCTGGGATCATGACCTGAGCCGAAGGCAGACGCTTCACCGACTGAGCCACCCCAGGGCCCCCACACACTGTCTTTACATAATCAGTTTTCATCCTCTGTCTCTTTCTCACATATACTCACAGGCACATGATATTTTGTTAAACTTATACGTACCTGTTTGATTTCTTTAACAGCCAGAGTAACTGAGAACAGGACTGCCTGACTAATGCTGCTCTGACAGGAAATGTTACAGGCTGCTTCAGCTCCTTACATATATATTCCATTTCTTTCACCATTGTCCAGCTGTAACCTGAAATGAAAGAAAGAAATTCAATTTTTCTAACTGGCATCCTAAAAGTCAGTTAAATAAAAAACTAAATTAAATTACCTATGAGTAGGTAATTTATAGGTATTTTATTAAAAGTTCTATTTAGATTCAGAGTGAATTAAAATACCACTTAATACATGAAAATATTTTGAATGGAAAATAGAGACAAAAAATCAAGTCTAAAATCATGCTACAAGTGACCTAGAGCAAAATAATAAAAGGTTAAAATATTAAAAAAGGTTTTACTAATCTCTCAAGCACAAAATAAGCAAATTTTGACACTATGTTTATCTTAAAGATTCTAAGACTCTTCCCTTAGGTATATCTGCCTCATTTTTTTTTTTTTTAAGATTTTATTTCTTTGGGAGGGAGAGAGAGACAGAGAGTGAGCAGGAGCACAAGAACAGCAGGAGGGAGAAGCAGACTCCCTGCTGAGCAGGGAGCCTGATGAGGGGCTGAATCCCAGGATCCCGGGATCATGACCTGAGCCGAAGGCAGAGGCCCAACCAACTGAGCCATTCAGGCGCCCCTATCTGCCTCATTAATATTCTCTATAAACATATTTTCCAGGGTGTCTGGGTGGCTCAGTTGGTTAAGCATCTGCCTTCAGCTCAGGTCCTGATCTCAGGGTCCTGGGATTGAGCACGTTGGGCTCCACACTCAGTGCGGAGTCTGCTTGTCTCTCTGCCCCTTCCCCTGCTCATGCTTGCTCTGTGTCTCTCTCAAATAAATAAAATCTTTTTAAAAAGGTAAATAAATAAACTTAGATTTCCTATTGTGTTACTTAAGTATTCTTTTCCAACAGAAAGATGCCTGCTAGGTAGTAGATGTTTAAGAAATAATTATCTTCATGATTATTTTTTGGCTAGTCCAAACTATTTGGATTAGAGTGGAAATAGAAAAATGTCCTTCATTTTTTTTAATGATTTTATTTATTTATTTAGAGAGACAGCATGTATGTGAGTGGTGGGAGGGTCAGAGGGAGAGGGAGAGAGAGAGAATCCCAAGCAGACCATGCTTTTAGCATGGAGCCTGACATGGGATTCGATTCCATGTCCCCGAGATGATGACTTGAGCCAAAATCAAGAGTTGGATGCTTAACTGACTGAGCCACCCAGGCATCCCAAAAATGACTTTTATATATGGGTTTTAAATCATGTTAAGAGACTGGAAAACACACTTGCCTGTTTATAAAGGCTTTGGGAAAAAATTTATATTTTGGGGGGCACCTGGGTGGCTCAGTCGGTTGAGCGACAACTCCTGATTTCAGCTCTGGTCATGATCTCAGGGCTGTGAGACTGAGCCCCTCATCAGGTTCTGCGCTGGGTGTGGAGCCTGCTAGGGATTCTTTCTCTTCCTCTCCTTCTGCCTCTCCCCTCTTTGTCTGTCTCTGAAAAAAAAAGAAAGAAAGAAAAAAATTATATTTTCAAAATAACAGCCTCTATGGGGCACATGGGTCCCTGGGTGATGCAGTGGGTTAAAGTGCCCGATTCTTGGTTTCTGCTCAGGTGGTGATCTCAGGGTTGTAGGACTGAGCCCCACACTGGGCTCTGCACTCAGCGTGGAGTCTGCTTGAGACTCTCTCTCCCTCTCCCTCTGCCCCTCCCCTGCAGAATAAATAAATAAATAAATAAATAACAGCCTCTATCAAAAACAGGCTGTAAAAATATTGGTAAATAAAGAAATATTTTACCTGCTTCTCCCTCTGCCTCTGCCTTTCTCTCTCTGTCTTTCTGTCTCTCATGAATAAATACATAAAATCTTAAAAAAAAAAAAAAAAAAGGAGGGTGCCTGGGTGGCTCAGACAGTTAAGTGTCTGCTTTCGGCTCAGGTCATGATCCCAGGGGCCTGGGATGGAGGTCTGCATCAGGCTCCCTGCTCCGCGGGGAGCCTGCTTCTCCCTCTGCCTCTGCCTCTCTCTGTCGCTCATGAATAAATAAATAAAATCTTTTTTTAAAAAAAAGGAATATTTTATAGAAAGCGTATGTGAATATGTTAGTTTAGCAGCTAAATTCCTCATGAAAGAAGGGCAATGTTCTGCTTTCCTTGAAAATCTGAAAAACCGTATCTTTGTAATTAGAAAAAGGGATTGCTAACAGAAGCTGTATTTACGTGACTATAAATTTATAAACTCTTTTCTAAATCTGTGAAATAAGGGGTGCCTGGGTGGCTCAGTCAGTTGGGCAGCTCACTCTTGATTTCTGCTTGGGTTGCAATCTCGGGGTTGTGAGATCTGGCTCCAAGCTCAGCATGGAGTCTCCTTGGGATTCTCTCTCTCCCTCTCCCTCTGCCCCTCCCCCCACTCGCATGCACAGCTCCCCCCAAAATCTGTGACATAAGAAATAAGGAAGCATAAAGCACATGTTGGTAATGACAAGAGGGCAATGGGAAAAAAGCAGCCTGGACACATTCAACACCAAAATGACTTCAAAATCCAGATATAGTCTAATTCAGTTAAAGCTTGAGGTTAAGCCAGAATTATACTAAACAGTGACAAAAGGAGTTTAGAGTCAGTAAGGAAGTTACTAAACTATTTCTAGTTTACCTTATTTAAACACCTTGAAGTATAAGCAATATTCCTTAATGAAACTAATAAAAATTAAAATGATTAAAAAATTAGAATTATGGTAAAGCATATTATTCTTTGTCTCAATCACATCAATTGCTGGCCCAGAGGGTTAGAACCTAAATGTCACTACTCACTAGATAGCAGTTACTCTAATCTTATGTTGGACTAAAAAGTTAACATCTAAAAACAATAATTGCAGGGGCGCCTGGGTGGCTCAGTCGGTTGGGCCTCTGCCTTCAGCTCAAGTCATGATCCCAGGGTCCTGGGATTAAGCCCCATGTTGGGCTCCCTGCTCAGCAGGGAACCTGCTTCTCCCTCTGCCGCTCCGCCTGCTTATGCTCTCTCCCTCTGTCAAATAAATAAATAAAATCTTTAAAAAAAACCCAATTATTGACAATAAGTAAAAGATGAATTCCCTGAACACAGGATAAAGACTAACATCTCCATAGGCTCTAAATACCTTCTTAATTTATTTTTACCATGTGGACAGGTGCTCCAGAGCATCTGATTGCTTACGAGCTGTTTACCTGTAAATCACTGCCTAGGGATATATGAAGAAATAAAAAGATGAACCCAAATAGCATAAGCAGTTTCAACCAGGAAAAAGAAGCTGAATGTCAAGTCGATCCTGAAGTGAAGAGGTGAAAGGAAAGAAGGGATCCAGCCTAGAGAAGAGTCTCATGGCCTCCCACTCCCCTGTCCAGGAAAGAGAGGAAACTAGCAGTCTACTTGTGGAGCCCCTTTCAGTGTCCATGGAGTAGAACTTGTGCTCTTCAACAACACTCCCCCAACTTCTGGCCTCACATCACCGGAGAAGTTTTTGTTACTACTTTATCTTTCATCTGACATTGGAAGTTTGCTCCAAGGTAAAAGAAAAAAAAAGTATACGATGTTTTGCAAGTTCAAAGAGACCAACTCAGGATTTGTTTAAAGTTTATAGAGGCGGCTTTGGTTAATCTAGACCATGCAAATTTCCCATCGAAGTTTGGTGACACACTGTCACCAACAAATGCAGTCTATCTGAAATAAACGAAAGAGTCATACAGATGCCTTTAGGGCCAGACCTTTATCTCCATTAGGCTCTTAGATTGTGGAATAAGTTTTTGGTTTTGTATTTAAACCTGTTATTTTTATATTTTGAGTGGATTTTAATTTGACCAATAAGAAATACATTTTAAAAATCATTACCTTCATTGACTTTCTCAGGATGCCATCCTGTTGTCCAACCCAGAGAAAATGTCACATCAGGAAAGAAGGATGTTACCATGTCTATAAAAGGTTTTGCATCCACTACCCTGCTATTTCCATTTGGACCCGGAAGAATATCAGCATTAATCCACACAGGACGTTTCAGATGCCTCTTCACACTCTCCAGGAGCATCATGGATGGTTCTACAGCTGCCAGACTAAAAACATAGGTGTTGTCAATGAGACGTATTCCTAAAGTAAAAGTAAAAAGTTCTTTCAGACTAGTGGTTTCAATGTTTTCAACTTCCTAACAAAAGTGTAATATGATAAGGCCTGAATTAAATAAAATCAAAGATCATATAGCACCAGAGGAGAAAGTTAACATATGCCGTATCTCAAAATGTTGATTTATACTTATTATTCATGAGGATACCTTAAAGGTTCTATAAATACATGAATAATGCCACTACTTGTAGACAGGCTGAAGTTTCAAAACTCTGTATTAGGAACACTCAGTATAAAATAATTTAAGAAAAGACATAAATATTCACTCATTAGAGAATGTATAAATAAGACTTAAAAATTAGATATACTCATAACCTGAAAATTCACATTTATGAAAATACCTACAGTACACCCAGGCACTGTGTCTCTAATACTGACTCATAACCCTAGAGAAAAGAGCCTCTTTTCCTTCATGTACTCTTTTAAATTTGGATGCATAAATATGTTTCTAAAACTGATTGCAAAGTATAAAATTATAACATCCTCTTAAAGCTTTTATACATTTCATAAACATCTTTTCTAGAAACTAGAGACAACTATATTTTAGTTACTATTTATTTATAAAGATTTTATTTATTTATTTGACAGAGAGAGAGAGATAGTGTCGAGAGAGGGAACACAAGCAGGGGGAGTGTGAGAGGGAGAAGCAGGCTCCCCGCTGAGCAGGGAGCCCGATGCGGGGCTGGATCCCAGGACCCTGGGATCACGACCTGAGCCCAAGGCAGACACTTAACGACTGAGCCACCCAGGCACCCTATTTTTTTTTTTAAGATTTTATTTATTCATTTGACAGAGAGAGAGCGAGCGAGCACAAGCAAGGGGAGTGGCAGGCAGAGGGAGAGGGAGAAGCAGACTCCCCAGTGAGCAGGGAGACCGATGTAGGGCCCAATCCCTGGGATCACAACCCAAGCCAAAGGCAGTCACTCAGCCAACTGAGCCACCCAAGTACCCCTTTAGTTACTATTTAAATAAAAAAGCTCTTTTTACTTTTCTGTACATCTATTCTAACTGACATCTATGGATTTTGAAACAGTAAGGTTTTAATCAGCCTACATAAATTTTACTTATTTTTTAAGATATATTTATTTATTTATTTTAGAGAGAGAGAGAGAGAG